CTTTTTTTTTTTTGAAGGTGTAGTGTACGTTCCTTGAGCATCAAGTATCCTAATGTTAACTCTTCACTTTCAAGAAGCCAAAAATCACAGACACTTTGCATCACTGAATGTAACTGCAGTTAAATATAGCTACAGTAGTGCATCATTAGAAAATGAAGTGTTCTAGAGTAAAATTGATCGTTTTTCATGGACATGTTTTTAAAATTTTGGACACAACCTCCTTTTTAAAGATAGAATACTCTCAGAGCTCTTTCCTTGATGGTTCTTGATCAGCATGAAACCCAATAATTGTAATGTATTACATAGTAAGACATTTAAAATGTACGAGCCTGCTTTTTCTCCAAATCCTTGTTCCCAAACTACTGTGCGTTTTGTGTCCCTTAGACAGCCTGTGGTTCTTCACCTTTCATTAAAGCTAGAGAACTAGGTTCTTTGTCTTCTTGGCCTCTTCCTTTTTTCTTTGCAACTGAGGTCCCCAAGAAGAGTAGCTGGCTCAGTACACTATCTCTAAAACAAGGTGTTGATGGAAGGAAGTCAGGTCCTATATCTGGTGGATCGCTTCACCTTCACTCTGGTCTGAGTTTCGTTTGTAACTTGCTTCTCTCACATGTTGAAAACTTACCTTGTAGAGCTTCCCTTGGTACTAGAATGGAGCCAGGGAAGGAATATACACCATTCAGTAAAGGTCATTCTACTGTAGCTAGCATTCCTAAAATAACTAATACTTTCTTCCACATGATATAAAGACCTATAACTTCACTCATAAATCATATCCCCATAAACTGGACAATTATATACACTAAACAGCCTTCTTTTTACATAGAAATACTACCAATAAAATTGTGTTGTGTCACCGTAGAACAATACTGACATCGTCTATGAGTTCTAGCCTACAGTTTGAGAAAAATGATTTTGTCTTGTTAAAAAGTCAGCTTTAGAGCGATGTACCTAGTATGCCTGTAGTTGCAGGTCACATACGTTGTCTCAGTTGTGTTCATTCTTTATGTAAAAATACCTGTTTCTCTTCTATTTATTGTTATCTCCTGTTGAGAGAGTAGAATTTTTAGTCTTTTTTAATAGTGCCCCTAGTTTGTATACAATAAATTAAAATACTCTTATCGTGCTGTTCCGATGAATTTTATTTCTACAAATATTTTATAAAATGTAAATTACAATGAATTAATTTGAACCTTGCCTTTAAAATATAGTAAGTTTTTGACACAAAACTGTGTTTCATGGTGTATTTCCTTGTAAAAAGTGATCATCGGTCTGCTTATCTAAAAATTTACCTTTTTTTCCTTTTCATTTTAGCAGAAACAGTAACTTAAGTTCTTTGATGCATTTTTTGTGCTCTCCGTGAATCACTCCAAATATGCCATTTTGAAATAAGCTTCCATATATTTTCTCTCACCTCTGTAATCTCTGCCATGTAGTTCCTTTGCCCAACCAAATTCCATAGCTTGAAATTACCTCAGTGAAGAGAACTTGAGAGACACGATTTTAAGATAGGCAAGTTATTAAGAGTGTTTTTTTCCTCCCTTGAATAAAAATCTCTCTAAATGGCCCTACTTCAAAAAAGAGATGCACAGGGGCTGGGGAAGGGCAGGGGTTTCTAATGTTGGGATAATAAGCTGCTGCCAGGAGCCAATATTCTTATCCACCAGGAAGCTCGCTGAACCTCCATGAGAGAGCTATTCTCAGCCACTCCCCTGTTCTCTCTCCTGAGGCGAATTGGTGTTGGCTTCCCAGGTCACGCTTTTCTGGTCTGGGTTCCCGAATTGCTCCAAGGTTCTTTCTCTGGAACCAAGGACAGAGGCCACCTTACTCTGAGTTAAGGGTAGGATCTTTACCTCACAGCCATGATTGAGGACCTAGACGGCTGAACAGAGCCCACCAGCATAGAACGCGCAAGCGAGAAAAGCCAGTGTAAGCTGTCAGAGATGGAACAGCTCTTGGCCCTCTCGAAGTCCATGTGGGTTAGGGACCAGCTGCTAAAGTAGGAGGCAGAGTTCCCCGAGAGGAGAGGTGAGGAAAAGATTGAAAAGCAAGTAGGTAGGAGTGTTAGGAGGAGAGTTGGGTGCCCTAGAGTTGGTCCCAGCTCAGCCACCCTGTGTACACCAGAAGGAAACACTGCCCCATCCTCACAATTGTTCTTATGTTTGAGCCCATTGTTATAGCCACTGGTTAATCCACTTTGTTAAAGGCCTTTTTCACTGCACCTAAACATTAGCAAGCTTGATACTCTTCTCCAGGAACTGATCTCTCCTGACAACGAGCCCAAAATATGGGAGCTGAAGTTGAACCATCATCCTTGCTTCTAGTTCAGACTCCCCGTTCAGTTGACGTTTTGGGCCGCATAATTGTTTGTTACGGGGAGGTTGTCCAGTGCCTGTAGGGCATTTAGCAGGGTCCCTGGTATCTACACACTAGATGCCTATAGTACCCTCCACCCCCAATTTGACCGCCATGCATATCTTCAAACATTGAGAATATCCAGGGGTAAAAGTGGGGCAAAATTGCTCCTTAAGGACTGCTAATCTAATCC